GTGCTAAGAGTGGGCATTCTTGTCTTAATACTGATTTCAGGAGGAAAGCATCCAGTCTTCCACCATTAAGTATTATACTAATTGTGGGCTTTTCACAGGTGAACTTTATCAGGTTGAGGAAGTTCCCTTCTAATTCTACTTAATTGATTTTTTTTTTTTTTTTTTATGGTGTCTGGCTCTGTCACTCAGGCTGGAGTGCAATGATGGTATCTTGGCTCACTTGCAACCTCTGCCTTCTGAGTTCAAGCAATTCTCCTGCCTCAGCCTCCCGAGTAGCTGGGATTACAGGTGCCCACCACCAAGCCTGGCTAATTTTTTGTATTTTTTTTTTAGTAGAGATGGGGTGTCATCATGTTGGTCAGGCTGGTCTTGAACTTCGAACCCTGGGTGATCCACCTGCCTTGGCCTCCCAAAGTGCTGGGATTACAGGTGTGAGCCACCACACCTGGCCTTGTTCATTTCATCTAAGCTACAATCGTTTATAGTATTTCTTCTTTTTTTTAACCCTCATTCTCTGCATATTTCTTTTTTTTTATATATATATCTTTATTTATTTATTTATTTATTTATTAAGACGGGGTTTCACCATGTTGGTCAGGCTGGTCTTGAACTGCTGACCGCAGGTGATCCACCCACCTTGGCCTCCAAAGTGCTTGGATTACAGGCGTGAGCCACCACGCTCGGCCTGCATATTTCTTTTAATTGTTTTAATTAATTTTTTTCATAATATTTCTTTATAATCCTTTCTCTTTTTTTTTACGATTGGTTGCCCAGGCTGGCCTTTTAACTCCTGGCCTCAAGCAATCCTCCCACCTCATCATCCCAAGTAGCTAGAACTACAGGCATGCTCTGCCATACCCAGCTATAACCCTTTTCATTTCTGTAAGGTGGATGGTAATGTCCTCTCTTTCACACCTGATCTAATAATTTGAGTTTTCTCTCATTCGCTTGGTCAATAGCAAAGTTTGTCAATTTTGTTGATCTTTTCAAATAGCCAGCTTTTGGTTTCCTTTCTATATTGTTTTCCTATTTTCTATTTCATGAAATTTTCTTTTTCCTTCCTCCCTCTGCTTGCTTTAGGTGTCGTTTGCCCCTCATTTCCAGTGTCTTAAGTAGAAGATTACATGATTAAAGCTATAAATTCCCTCTGAGCACTGCCTTGGCAGTATCCCATGAGTTTTGGTATATTGTGTTTTCATTTTTATTTATCTCAAACTATTTTCTTTTCTGTTCATTTATTTATTATTTATTTATTGAGATGGAGTTCTGCTCTGTCACCCAGGCTGTAGTGCAGTGGTGTCATCTCAGCTCACCTCTGCCTCTCTGGCTCAAGCAATTCTCCTGCCACAGCCTCTCAAGTAGCTGGGATTACAGGCATGTGCCACCATGCCTGGCTAATTTTTTTTTTTTTTTTTTTCTTTTTTTGATGGAATTTCGCTCTTTTTTTTGCCCAGGCTGGAGTGCAATGGCTCAATCTTGGCCCACTGCAATCTCCTCCTTCTGGGTTCAAGCGATTCTCCTGCCTCAGCCTCCTGAGTAGCTGGGATTACAGACATGCACCACCACACCCAACTAATTTTGTATTTTTAGTAGATACAGGGTTTCACCATGTTGGTCAGACTGGTCTCGAACTCCCGACCTCAGGTGATCTGCCTGCCTTGGTCTCCCAAAATGCTAGGATTACAAGTGTGAGCCACTATGCCCGGCCACACAAAGTATTTTCTAATTTCCCTTTTGATTCCTTCTTTGACCCATTTGGTCATTTAGAGTGTGCTGTTAAATTTCCACACCTTTGTGAATTTCCCACCTTCCCAACTTTCCTTCTGCTATTGATCTAATTGTATTCCATTGTGTTTAAAAAAATACTTTGTATTATTTTTACCCTTTACATTTACTTAGGTTTGATTTACAGCTTAGCATATGCTGTACCCTGGAGAATGTTCCACGTCAACTTGAGAAGATGTGTATTCTGCTTAAGTTGAGCTGTGTTGCTCATACATGACCACACCACTTGCCTTTCACCATTCCACTTTCTTAACCCATGCTAACCACCAATCTGTTTTCCATTTCTGTAATTTCCTCATTTCAACAATGTTAATGTTAATGCCATGCCTACCTAACCTACTGAAATTTTCTTTTTCACTCAGGATAATTATCTGGAGTTAATTCAAGTTGTTGTGTGTATTATTACTTCATTATTATTTATTTATTTATTTATTGCTAATCAGTATTTCATGGTTTTCTGCACTGTTTAACCATTCATCTGCTCAGGACATCAGGGCTAATTTCAGTTTTTGGTGATTACAGTTAAACCCTGAAATTAAAATTTTGGTGTGAACATAAGCATTTGATTTTGTGAAATAAATTCCCAAGAGGGCAATTACTGGGTCTTATGGTAGCAGCATGTGCAGTTTTCTCAAGATGACAAAGTATTTTCCACAAAGCTGTACCATTTTATATTCCAGCAATGGATGAGTGACCAAGTTTTTCCACATGCTCATCAGCATTTGTTGTCACTATTAATTTTAGCCATCTTCACAGGTGTAATTTTAGTTTGCATTTCTGTAATACCTAATGATGCTCAACATCTTTTCACGTGCTTATTTGCAATTCATAAATCTTCAATGAAATATAATTTTCATGTCTTCTCCCCCTTTTTCTGAGACAGTCTCACTCTGTCACCCAGGCAGAAGTGCAGTGGTGCGACCACAGCTCACTGCAGCCTTGACCCCCCAAGCTCAAACGATCCTCCCAGTACAGCCTTCTAAGTACTAGGACTACAGGTAGGCACAACCATGTCTGGCCAATTTAAATTTTATGTTTTTGTAGAGACAGGATCTCACGGTGTTGCCTACGCTGGTCTCGAACCCCTGAACTCCAGTGGTCCTCCTGCCTCAGTCTTCCAAAATGTTGGGATTACAGATGTGAGCCACAATGCCAAGCTTGTTATGTCTTCTCAAGGAATAGATCCCTTTGTCACAGGGATCATGCTCCCTTTGAGCATAGAGTAGTTCTGTGAACGATATTTTTGGTTTCTACAAGTGGCATCACAAACCTGCTGAATTCCAGGCTAGAATCCAGCTTCAGCAACTTCTTGTCTCTATCACCCTTCAGTCAGAGTGTGATGCTTTTCCCAACATATCTGCAGATGAGTCCTATACTTTACTTATGAAAGAACCAGTGGCTGGCTTTAAGGCCAGCAGAGTTTGGGGAGCAAACAGAGTTTGGTTTGCCCGTTAATTTATCAAGATTCTTATGGGATTTTCACCATCAATGGATCCACCATTATTGATTCTCCAAGGTTTTCTCATAGAGGAATCTTAGTTGATGCATCCAGACACTATCTGCCAGTTAAGATTCTTCTTAAAACTCTGGATGCCATGGCTTTTAATAAGTTTAATGTTCTTCACTGGCACGTAGTTGATGAGCAGTCTTTCCCCCATCAAAGCATCACCTTTCCTGAGTTAAGCAATAAAGAAAGCTATTCTTTGTCTCCGGTTTATACATGAAATGATGTCCATACGGTGATTGAATATGCCAGATTATGAGGAATTCCAGTCCTGCCAGAATTTGAAACCCCTGGATATACAATACCTTGGGGAAAAGGTCAGAAAGACCTCCTGACTCCATGTTACAGTAGAAAAAACAAGTTGGACTCCTTTGGACCTATAAACCCTACTCTGAATATAACATACAGCTTCCTCATCACATTTTTCAAAGAAATTAGTGAGGTGTATTCAAATCAATTCATTCATTTGGGAGGAGATGAAGTGGAATTTAAGTGTTGGGAATCAAATCCAAAAATTCAAGATTTCATGAGGCAAAAAGGCTTTGGCACAGATTTTTAAAAACTAGAATCTTTCTACATTCAAAAACTTTGATACTATTGCAGCCATAAACAAGGGATCCATTGTCTGGCAGGAGGTTTTTGATGATAAAGTGAGCCCGGCACAATAGTTGAAATGTGGAAAGACAGCGGGTATCCTGAGGAATTCAGTAGAGTCACAGTGTCTGGCTTCCCTTAATCCTTTCTGCTCCTTGGTACGATTAGTTATGGACAAGATTTGAGGAACTACTGTAAAGTGGAACCTCCTGATTTTGGTGGTACTCAGGAACAGAAAGAACTTGTCATTGATGGAGAAGCTTGTCTATGGGGGGAATATGTGGATGCAACTAACCTCACTCCAAGATTATGGCCTCGGGCAAGTGCTGTTGGTGAGAGACTCTGGAGTTCCAAAGATGTCAGAAATACGGATGATGCCTATGACAGACTGACAAGGCACCGCTGCAGAATGGTCAAATGTGGAATAGCTGCACAAACTCTTTTTGCTGGATATTGTAACCATGAGAACATGTGAAAATGGAGGGGGAAAAAGGCCATAGCAATCTGTGCTATAATCAACTTCATTTTGAAATCATGTAAATTAAGACATTAGACTGTTTTTTGAATAAAATATTTTTATTGATTGAACCTCTTATTATATATAAAAAGTTCCTTTACTATCTCACTTTCCATTGTAATGTAATGCCCCTTTTATCCATGATAAAAATATTAGCAAATCAAATCCAACATTGTATGAAAAAAATACAACACGACCAAATGGGATTTATTCCAGATATGCATATTTATTTAATGGTTGAATATTAATTAATGTAATTAATCACATCAACTAAGTTAAAAAAGATAATCATGATTATATCAATACATTTAGAAGAAGCATTTGACAAGTCTAACACCATTCATGATAAAAACTCTCAGCAAACTAGGAATAGAAGGGAACTTTTTTAATTGATAAAGAACATCTACAATAATTCCACAGCTCACATCATACAGAACTTAATGGTAAAAAATCAGATGCTTTTCCCCTAATATCAGGGAAAAGGCAAGGATGTCTCTTGTCACCACTCCTGTTCAATATTGTACAAGTCTTAGCTAACACAATAAGACAGAAGGAAATAAAAGTATAAAAAATTGCAGCCGGGCGCTGTGGCTCACGCCTGTAATCCCAGCTCTTAGGGAGGCAGAGGCGGGAGGATAGCTTAAGCCCAGGAGTTCGAGACCTGCCTGGGCAATATAGCGAGACCCCGTTCTCCACAAAAAGGAAAAATTGCAGATGAACATGACTGTCTATGTATAAAATCCCAAAGGATCAACAAAAAACCTCTGAGAACTAGTAAGTTATTATAGTGACATTGCAGAATATAAGGTTAATATACAAAAGTTGGTTGCTTCTCTATAAACCAACAATGAACAATTGGAATTTGAAATTGAAAATGTCATACCTCTTACATAAACACCAAATAATCAAAATACTTAGGTATAAACCTAACAAAATACAAATTCTATATGAGGGGAAACTACAAAACTATATGAGGGAAAATACAAGAAATAAAAAATCTAAATAAATAAATGGAGATAAATTCCATGTTCATGAGTAGGAAGACTCAACATTAATGTGTTAGCTCTTCCCAATCTATAGATTCAACTTAATCCCAATAATGATTCTAGCAAGTTATTTTGACAAACAAATTATATTGACGAGCAAAGTTATATTGACAAAGTTATATTTGACAGACAAGTTATATTGACAAACAAATTCTAAAGTTTGTATGGAAAGTAAAAAAGATGCAGAATAGCCAACTCAATATTGAAGACAAGTAGGACCAGAGTACTTACACTACTCAACTTTGAGACTTACTGTGAAGCTACAGTAATCAAGACAGCATGACATTGCTGAAGGAACAGAGGTGAGAACCATAAATAAATCCAAACAAATGGAATTAACTGATCTTTGATGAAAGAGCAAAGGCAATTGAATAGAGAAATATTAGTCTTCAATAAATGGTGCTCTAATAAATGTGCCCGTAGTCCCAGCTGCTCAGGAAGTTTTGCATTTTACACATGGAAAAATAAAAAAAAAATCTAGACAGAAATTTTTAATTGCTGCTCTGAGAACATCATTGTTAAGCAAATGAAAACCCCCAGACTTGGAGAAAATATTTGCAAATAACTTTTCTGATAAAGGACTTGTATTCAACATATACAAATAACTCTTAAAATGCAAAAATAAAAAAATAAGCACCCCAGTTTAAAAATGGACAAAATATTTGAACAAAGCCCTCACCAAAGAAGATATACATATGACTACAAGCATATGAAAAGGTGCTTCACATCATCTTTTTGTGTTTTGAATTTGTAATTCCCTATGATGTACAGCACGTACATAACATATGATGTACAGCATGTGGAAAGATGCTCTATGTCATATGTCATTAGGGTATTACAAATACAAAACACAATGAGAATTAGCTGGGCATGGTGGCATGTGCCTGTAGTCCAGCTACTTGGGAGGCAGAAGCAGGAGAACCACTTGAATCCAGTAGTTTGAGGCTGCAGTGAGCCGTAATCATAGCACTGTACTCCAGCCTGGGCAACAGAGTAAGACCCCATCTCTAAAATAAATAAATATATAAATAAACAAATAATAAAAACAACGAGAAACCACTGTACACCTATTAGATAGGCTAAAATCCAAAAACCTGACAGTATCAAATGCTGACAAGGATGTGGATGTGGAAAAACAGGAATGCTCATTTATTGCTTTTGAGAATACTGCCACTTTGGAAGTATTTCGAAGCTAAACATATCCTTATCATATGGCCCAGCCATTTCACTCCTAGGTATATACCAAAATTAGTTAAAAACTTATATACACACAAAAGACTACATATGAATGTTCATAGCAGCTTTATTCAAAACTGCAAAAACCTCGGCCTCCCAAAGTGCTGTGATTGCAGGTGTGAGTCACTGTGCCCTGCCTAAGTGGCATTCTGTAAAAGGTAAAACTACAAAGACAGTGAAAGATCCAGTGGAACTGTTTCAAAACTTTTTGGGTATTTCTAGGACGTGTATGTTTCCAAACAAATGTTAATATGAGCTTGTCTGCATCTACAACAACAACAAACTTGCTTGGATTTTGATAGTAATAATGTTAAAACTGTGTCCCATTTGGGGAAAACTGGTGTCCTTACAATTGAGTCTTCTAATCCATGAACATGCTATGCCTCTCCATTTATTTATATCTTCTTTGATGTCTTTCATTAGCACTGTCTAGTTTTCATCATATAAGTTCTGCATCTGTATTGTCAGATTCGCACCAAAGTATTTTTGTGGAGCAATTACAAATAGTATTATATTTTAATTTCAGTGTCCACATGTTCATTGCTTTATCCATTTGTCTGTTGTTTATCCATTTGTCTGTTGATAGTATATACAAATACAATTAATTTTTATATGTTGATGTACTCTGCAACCTTGCTAAATTCACGTATTAGTTTTAGGAGTTGTTTAATGGGCTTTTCATGTAGTCAATCATGTCATCTATAAATAGGGACAATTTTTTCTTTTTTTCTGATTGGTATGCCTTTTAATTCTTTTTTAAATTTAATTATTTTTAATTTTTTATGAGGACATAGAAGATGTATATATTTATGGGGTCCATATATTTATGTTGATACAGGCACTCAATGTGTAATAATTACATCAGAGTCAATGGGATATCCATCATTACCTCAAGCATTTATCATTTGTGTTACAAACATTTCAGTTACACTATTTTAGTTATTTTTAAATGTACAATAAACTATTATTGACTGTAGTCATTCTGTCACCCTATCAAATACTAGGTCTTATTCATTCTAACTATATTTTTGTACCCATTAACCATTCCCACTCCCCCCAACCCCAATGCTACTACTCTTCCCAACCTCTGGTAACCACCATTCTACTCTCCATGAGTTCACTTATTTAAAGTTTTAGCTCCTGCATATGAGTGAGAACGTGAAGTTTGTCTTTCCATGCCTGCCTTATTTCAGTTAACATAATGTTCTCCAGTTTCATCCGTGTTGTTGCAAATGACTGGATTTCATTCTTTTTTGTAGCTGAATAATACCATCATGTACATGTAACACATTTTCTTTATCCATTTGTCTGTTGATAGGTTGATTCTAAATCTTGGCTGTTGTACCTTTGATTTCTTATTCCTTATTGCTCTGGCTGGAACTTGCAGTGTTTTGTTGAATAGTAGTGCTGAGTGCCTTGTCGTTGATCTTAGAGACCAAGCATTCAGTCTTTATTAAATATAATGATAGCCACAGGGGTTTTTGGAGATATTTTTTATTCAGTTGAAGAAATTCCTCTCTCAGTTTTCTGATAGCTTTTATCGTCAATGGGTGTTGGACTTTTTCAAATGCCTTTTCTGCAGAATTCAATTGATAATCTTATGTGATTTTTCTTACTTAGCTTGTTAATATGGTGAACCACATTGATTGACTGATATTTGAACATTGAACGAGCCTTATATTCCTGGGATAAACTCCACTTAGTAATGGTGTATAATACTTTTTGTATATTGCTGAATTCCATTTATATTAACTAAGAATTTTTACACATATATTCATGACTCATGATGGTCTATAGTTTTCTTTCTTTGTATTGCTTTCCTTTTCCTCCTCCTCCTCCTCCTTTTTCTTATTCTTTCTTCTTCTTTTTTTTTTTTTTTGGACAGAGTCTCACTCTGTCACCAGTATGGAGAGTGGAGGCATGATCTCAGCTCACTGAAGCCTCTGTCTCCTAGCTCTAAGCAGTCTTCCCACTTTAGCTTCTCAAGTAGCTGGGACTACAGGTGCATGCCACCATGGCTGGATGATTTTTGTATTTTTTGTACAGACATTATTTCACCATGTTGCCCAGGCTGGTCTCCTCAACTCAAGTGGTCTGCCCACCTCAGCCTCCCAAACTGCTGGGATTACAGGTGTGTGCCACCACGCCCAGCATATACTATTTTTCTTAACTTTAAAATAAATTTGGAAGTGATTTGTTTCCTGTTTTCTGGAAGAGATTATTAGAATTGGTGTTAAATATCTAAGCAATTGGTAGAATTATCCAGTGAAACCATCTGGGGCTGGAGATTTCTATTTCAAGAATTATTTAACTACAAATTCAATGTCTTTAATGGTTATATAACTGGATTATCTATTTTATAATAGATGGGAAGTGGTAGTTTGTTTTGTTTTGTTTTGAGGAATTGGTCCATTTCATCTCAGATGTTAAATTATGTTTGTACAGCTGTTTGTAGTATTTCCTTATCTTCTTGATGTCTGCATGATCTGTACTGATAACTCCTATTAATTTTTTCTTCACTCTTTTTCCCTTTGTCAGGCATGCTAGAAGTTTGTCAATTTTATTGCTCTTTTAGAGCTAGCTTTTAGTTTAATTTTCCAAATCTTTTCTGCTTTCAATTTTCTTTTTGAGATGGGGTCTCACTCTGTCCTCCAGGCTGGAGTGCAGTGGCACAATCTTGGCTCACTGCAACCTCTGCCTCCCAAGTTCAAGCAATTCTCTTGCATCAGCCTCCCAAGTAGCTGGGATTACAGGCATGCACCACCACATCCAGCTAATTTTTGTATTTTTAGT